ACCAAAGCATACGAATGCTTCACAAACATTAATTAATTGATCCTCATGACACCCATGTCAGATTATCCCTATTTTACAGTTGGGTAACTGAGGCACAGAGAGATTAAGAGCTAAACTGCCCACTAATTTTGGGTGTCCAAAATGAGACACTTGGGGCCTGTCTTTTCAGAGAACTTCACATTTTTACTGCACTTCAAAAAAAAAAAAAAAACACATAGCTCCCATTGACTTCAGTTACAGAACTTGAGCCAATCTGTCTTTAGTTTGGGCACCCAGAAAAAGAAGAACACACACTTAGTGATCACCTGTGAACAATTTGGTTTAAGTGCCTTGTTCAGCATCCCTGTGGCAGCAAAGGCAGGACTAGAATCCAATTATCCAGCAAGGCATTCATCTACCTTAACCATGACACCATCCTCTCACTTCCTACAGTCCCATGCCTCATTCACTACATATATTCCCACTTCTGCAACTGATCCAACCTCCCAACCCCCTCGCCAGCTCATAGCCCCCTCCCCTTCTGCTCTGATCACCTTGGTCCAGCTCCTTTGCCCTCTACCCTCTCTTCTCCTGTCCAACCTCTTCCTTCTTTGTGCTCATATGAGTCCTCAGCCACTCCACCTTTCTTCAGCTCCTATCCAACCCTTCTAGCTCCTGTCCACCACCCCATCCAATTGCCTCGTCCTCTACATATATATATCTCCCCAATCCTTCCCCCCCCCTTTCCTCCTGCCAATGGCCCCACACACACTCCTCCCCAGTCTCTGGCTCCTACAACCACCTGACTGACTGTCCCCCATAGAATATTAGGGTTGGAAGAGACCTCAGGAGGTCATCTAGTCCAGGGGTCAGCAACCTTTCAGAAGTGCTGTGCCGAGTCTTCATTTATTCACTCTAATTTAAGGTTTTGCGTGCCAGTAATACATTTTAACATTTTTAGAATGTCTTTTTCTATAAGTCTATAATATATAACTGAACTATTGTTGTATGTAAAGTAAATAAGGTTTTTAAAATGTTTAAGAAGCTTCATTTAAAATTAAATTAAAATGTAGAGCCCCCCAGACCGGTGGCCAGGACCTGGGCAGTGTGAGTGCCACTGAAAATCAGCTTGCGTGCCACCTTCAGCACGCGTACCATAGGTTGCCTACCCCGATCTAGTCCAATCCCCTGCTCAAAGCAGGACCAACACCAACTAAATCACCCCAGCCAGGGCTTTGTCAAGCTGGGCCTTAAAAACCTCTAAGGATGGAGATTCCCACCTCCACTCTTCTTCACCACTCTGCATTAGTCAAGCTCAGGGGTAGGCAACCTATGGCCCGTGTGCCAAAGGCAGCACGCGAGCTGATTTTCAGTGGCACTCACACTGCCCGGGTCCTGGCCACCGGTCCAGGGGGCTCTGCATTTTAATTTAATTTTAAATGAAGCTTCTTAAACATTTTTAAAACCTTATTTACTTTACATACAACAATAGTGTAGTTATATATTATAGACTTATAGAAAGAGACCTTCTAAAAATGTTAAAATGTATTACTGGCACGCAAAACCTTAAATTAGAGTGAATAAATGAAGAATCGGCACGCCACTTCTGAAAGGTTGCCTACCCCTGGTCAAGCTGATTCTTCCTTCACCTGCATGCTGCCTGTGCTCAGCAACAGTTGCAGTGAGAGCACAAGAGAGATAAATGGTTAAAATTTGGCAAAGTTATAAGCAACTGAAAACAGAGTCTTATAATGGGAAATGTTGGGCAACCTTATGTATAGACGGCACTATCAGCCCCACCTTAATATCTTCCTTCCACTGGCACAATAAATGCCCAGATTCTCTGCTGTGCAGCAGATGGTCTGAGGTGCAGAGCCATCAGGGAGCTGGTTATGGTTTCCTGATTCTCAGGGCAGATCTGCGCTACCCTGAGATCTGCCTTGGTTGGAATCATCCGGAGACTGCTCTAAATTACACCAACTGGACACAGCCCCTAATGAACCATATGCCAAAAGGGCATAGATGAAAAGCCGAGTACTTCAGCCACTCCCCTGACCTGCACATAGCACTCGCCTATGACAGGGCTGAGAGGGGGCAAAGTGGTGTCACAGGAGCTGAGTACACTATCTCTCTGTCCGATAAGAGCTCCTCAAGGCAAGAAATTCTCAACTGGCCAGTCCAGCTTGGTTCCCAGCCTCTTTGTTCCACTTAACGAGCATAAAGGGGCCAGAACAGAACAATCTGTTTTTTAACTTTATTTTAAGTGAAAACAAACAAACGATATCACTGTTTAGGCTTCTTCTGCATGGAGAGTAACCTGGGCGGTGTTTACTTTACAGGAAACAGACTCTTTTTAAAAAAGGAGAAGTGGCACAGGGCAAGTCATTACACAGGTGAGCTAAATTCAGTGTCAGAGGGAATTTCCACGGACAAAGGATTTCCCACAGTCTATTGTTGGAAACAGCACTGCATTTGCTCATTTCTTACTCAACAGGCTGCTGATTCAACCAGAAGAGGATGCGGCTAAGTTTCACCTTGTGTGTTGCTCCAACTGCAGATTAAGTCAACAAAAACTTGGCTTTTGGAAACCTCTGTACTTCATACTACTTCCTTGTTATTTTCATTGTGAGCTTCTGTCGTCTTATACTGGCATGTAAGTGCAACTGGCAAGGGTTACATAAGGTGAAATATCAGGAGTTTGAACTCCAGACAACTGCAGCAGAACAGATCCTGCCTGCAGGCAGAGGGCAAGCTCTCCCTATCCTATCAGCTTCAAGCTTTCATACTGCTTGATGGACACTTATTTTTAAAGTGTGGTTCATAAGAAGAAAGCAAGGCATACAGAATGCATCATGTGTTTGGAATCACTGTGCTCTTCCATTTACACACACACACACACACACACACACACACACACACACACACACACACACACACAGAGA